AGGATAGGGGTACAGACAGAAGAAACAGAAGGAGAGACTGCGGAACACGTTTGATTCAGGTTGATTAGCAACCTGAAGCTGGCCAATGAGTTATACAAATAGAGGGCACAAGAGATCTACTCGGGTCGAGGTGCAGAACGCCTTGTGTCCGCCTGTATTATCCTTATCCCTAGAACTTGACTTTGAGGTAACCATTATTTTCGGTAGATAAAATTTTTCAATCGATTGTGACTATTCTTCTCATAAATTCGTCAGGAAGATGGCGCTAAAACAGGTTAAAAGGAACTCGCTGGCACTTTCCATTTCTGAGAATTTTGCCTGTATCCAAAGAATGTGCCTTGGTATTGTCTTTCTTGCAGCCCGGTGTGTTGGTATCCCTCATACCGAATTGTTTATTGAAGCCCAATTAACTTTCCATGAAATTAAAAAGATATTTAGCTAAACAATAATTTCCGCATTCGTTGTAAGCCGCCGGGATTGTTAAGTCATTTCAAATTTCATAACGAATTGGCTTCCTACCAATATTTCAGTATCAGTTCACTTTTGTGTGGCGCAGAAGGGCATCGCGTTGTTTTATTTTTATATTATTAGAATATATCCTTGGAGAGTATAATTTCGATAAGGCCATTAATAAAGGAGAGCTGCGGAATTCTTGGTGTAAAGCTTGTAAACAAAAAGGAAAAACATGTCAAAAGTGCTCGGCTGGCATTAGTCAGGAAATACACATAAAATATAAACAACAGTTTCGCCGGCTGAATAAATGCTATTTTTCATAAATCCATTTAACTATTAATTAAATAATTTAAATTCAACAATTGAATTTATTCTTTATTGAAAAACGACAACTGTTGGGTTCAAAGGATATTTGGATAACGCTCAGATTAAGTTACTTTAGCGCACAACCACTTCTACCTAATTGGATTGACTCGCAATAATCTCGGATTCGTTTGGCCCTTTGGAACATGTTTACTGTTAATATAACTAGGTAAATATAGCAACATGCCAAATTTTCTTTATTATATAAGTTGGCATGTGTTTGTATTGTGGGACCACGTTGAGGTTGCGGTTTGGTCGCTTCCGGTCATCTCGGTCCGCCTGTTCTCGCTGCTTTGTCTATCAGTGGCATTTAAAGAAGTTTCATCCACTGGTGAGTTGTGATGCTTGTTTATCCTAGCTAGTCAACTCTCGTTGGCTATATCTATCAGAATTTGAAGGATTAAGCTTAAGGGCAGACAGACAATAAAAACACACAGTCCAACCGCTAATGATGACAAAAATGGATGTCTGTATTTTGATTTTTTTTTTAATCGAAATAAACTTAATAAATGTACTAGACAACAATACTTATAGGTCCGTTAACGAACAACCCCAAATTATTAGTCCATAAAATATGTAGTTCGAACGATATAGACGTAAGCGTATAAACTGAAATCGCAAAGAAAAGAAATGTCATTGTCTTAGCCACATATCACCTTGCGACTCGCGAATCATTTTGTTTCCATGTTGATCGAGGTTTTTTTTGTTTTATCGCTTAAAAAAGTGTACGTTGAAGCATTAACTACCAGCCTAATTATTACTGATAATCTCTTGTAAGTTTAGACAAGACTTTCTTAGCTGAGTCGTTTCCTCTTTGCCCTAGGCCCCCTAGGGTGTTGTTCCACCACGTTTTGTTACACCTTGAAATCTTACAGAAGGATTCTTGTACATTCAGGATTTGTTGACTACTAGGGAGCATTTTTTTCTTCTTGACTGTGAGTTTCAAATATGTAGCATTGATCTCAAATAGACCCTCTCTTAATTATAACAGATGCTGTGATCGATCAGGAGCAATTACCTTAAATACACCCTAAAAAACAATATCGCCTTTTATTTATGATTATTTTTCATGAGTTGATTAAGCATGGCTAGGGGAAAATACTCTGTAATTGTAATTGTAAAAAGATTACAAATAAAAGAGCTGCACATTGTAATATGAAAACCATATCACTTGTAGAACCTCTTAGTGTTGCTCAAATTCCCATGCCTGAGATGTGAACACAATAGAACGAGAAACTGAACAGAAATTTTCAGCTTTCTTGACAGTCGGACCAAGGTGTTACTGATAGCCGTGTTCTAAATAAAGTTCAATGCCGAGGATGGCATAGCCCTTAAATGCGATTTCCAGAACAACTTCGGTGTGAGACCTACACATAAATACTTATAGGTATTAACGACGGTGATTGCCTTATCATTGAAGGGCCAGGTTTCTCTCGTACTTAACCTACCCCCATTCGTAAAAACTATCACTTATTCTAATTAACTTCCAGCACCCATTCTGCACAATATTTCTCTATGGTGTTAATATTAGTTTGTAAGTCTTCTAGTGATTTAGCAAGGATAATCGTATCATCTGCACGTAGCAGAATCTTGATTAATGCATTACTACATCGTAACTTTGGTGAGGCAGTCTACAAGATCGTTTGTATATGATGCAATCAATAGAGGGCTCAGAAGGTACCCCTGAGCACACCTAAAGTGGCATTAAAACACTTTAAATGCCTCTTAATATCCCAGACACATGATTTAGAGTCACGATAAAGGCCCTGTAACGTAGATGTAAATTTGTACAATTTTTTTACATAATAAACCACTTATTTTACTTCATATATATATAATGCATGCGTACATATTGAAATTAGTACTATTAGTTTTCCCTTTTGTTTTTACCTTATCCTTGCCGGTATACCTCAGTGTTCTCTGGCCCCCGTACTACACCAGGTGTACACAGCTGACCTCCCGTCCCATCCTCAAACCACCACCCTGACCTTTGCAGACGATACAGCGATCCTTTCATGTAACTCAAGTCGTTTCCAGTAGAAACCTTGAGGAACACCTCACGCTACTGTAGCATGGTGTGAAAAAAATTAACCCAGAAAAATCCACTCAAGCCTTTACTGTCCGCAAGAAGATCCGACTTCAATCAAATAGACCACCGGTCGAGGTGTGGTACCTAGGACTATATATTGCAAACATCTGACGTGAAATCCTCATACACGACTTATTTAAACAAGAAGTTATGAGACGTTTAGCTTTTCACGACTTTCGGATTTACCTCTCTTAGTCGAAATAAAAGTGTGAAGTTCAGTCAAACATTCCAACCATCCTCCGCATCCAACGAGCCTAATCCATAATCCTCAGAAAACTTGATTCTACCTTTTATGTGCCCAACGTAACTACCCATCCAGTCATAAATATTCCTTTTGTCCAGGATGTAATCAACCATTATAGCCAATTTCATACAAACCTCCCAACCACTATAAATCCTTAAATTCAAAAATAGCATTAGGGATCGACGACTTTCTTAATCTGCCACAATTTGGCAGGATTATTTATATTTTTCCAAGCCCAGCGATTATTTTCGATTACATTATGGTTACAGATTAGGTCCATTCCGATGCTTTTGCTATGGGCAGATCTGTTCACCAACAGCACCCTCTTCCAGAATAACCCATCGTTTTCTTTGTCCTTCTCACATTTTTCTTTCGAAAATAAAACTTAAGAAGAAAAAATAGGCGTTTTTGACCTATATGTCCATAGAAATAAATCAAATCAGATCAATATTACAATAAAACGTATAAAAATTAAACAGTGGTTAAATATTTATCGGATTTTACTTCTGACACTTTTCATTTTGTTTCAACTGGATTTATGGACAGTTCTAAGCTATATTCTTTGCTAAATAAGGTTGATTTCTAATTGTAATTAAACACGTGGTTTCAATCGGTGCATAAATTTTAACAGATCTTCAAAAATCAAAAATCCATAAAACTTATAAAAGCGTGAAGTAATTTGTCGGGAGACGAGTTATAATGACTAAATCGTAACTAAAGAATAATTGTTTGTTTTTTGTTGATTTTTTTTTACTATTATTTACGGGGATTCTGTGCCTGTAATATGATCGCCTACCCTCTTCTCACTAGTGTCTCCCTTTAGATGTTGACTCATTTTACTTTCCTAGATGGTTTCTGAAAATAATCGCCTTTTTTTCTTCGTACATTATTTAAAAACTCGATGCATTCTCTTTCACAGCTTCTCCCATCGAGAATTATTGATGATGATTGCTGTGTGTATTTATATAGCTCTGTCCATTTTGGACAGATAATTACGAATGTTTTTTCTCTCAGATTTAAATATACCTAGCCTTAATTGGCTTCACAGACCCTGTGTTTTAACAAATATCGGCGGGTAAATTTATGTCTTCCGGGTTCCTCATTGAAGATGGCATGCAGCTGAAACGCGTATGAGTGCAACGCAGTGTAAAAAACCCATAATAGACGGACCCGGAAAAGATACGAGACCAACACCACCAAATTTTAAGGTGATTGAGTTTTTCTAAAAACTTTCGTCACAAACCTCCCAACCACATATCTTCTTACAGACCCATTCAATGTCCAAAATCATCGAAAGACTTTAAAGAGCTTAACACCCATCCTAGATACTTATGAAATCATTCCTTCTCATCAGTTCGGCTTTCATCCTCATCAATCCACGATCCGACAAGGTTTCAGAGTTGTCGACACCATCTCCTCTGCTCTAGAGAATAAATAGTATTGAGGGTGTGTTCCTGGATATAGCACAGCTTTTAATAAGGTCTCTTGAAAAAATTTTTTTTTGCAAGTATGTCGTGTTTGAATGCAGGGCCGGTGAGACCTCCAGTGCATACAGTCCTTCCAATCAAAAGTCCTCAGACAAATCATCAAAGCAACTTTGACTAACCTTACTATCCACAACGACCTCAACATTCCTTTTGTCAACGAACTGATTCCCTATTCCAAACGTATCATCAACCGTCCATCTTAACCCTACTGCTCGAGCCTTCTCTACACATTCCCATCCGGAGAACCCGCCGCGTAGCCAAAACTTACAGACTGTTCTTACAACCTGGTGTATTTTATCTTTAATTTGAGGAAGAATATGTTGTGAATTACAGGAAAGAAAAAGATCCCTTTATTTATTTTCAGGTCACAGTGGACGAAATGAAACAGAGGATGACTCCATTGATGGCAGCTGCGCTGAATGGTCACGATTCGACGGTACGGATATTGCTGAAAGAATTCGACGCCGACCCTAACGTTTTGGGCAGTGTCAAGTTTGATGGGTTCATCGTCGAGAACGCCTCTCCTCTGTGGTGTGCCGCCGGTGAATACAAATTATTTTATTACGTACTTGATGTTTAATATTCTAGACTGCGTCGAGTCAATTGAAACAGTCATCCGCCATTGAAAGAAGAAGTTTATGGGTAGCCAGAAAGTGGCAGCGAGATGCACGCGTAATTGATCTATCGTATCCAAAATTTCTCACAATTTTTTCCAGTTTCCAACAAATAAAGAAAGGGTTTAAGACAAAAAGAAGTAAACACAACACAAATAATTCGAAATTGATCACAGCATGAACTCACTTGGCTAAAATGAAGAATAAATTATAGTTCTACATAAACTGGAAAAAAAAGCCAGTCACAGACAACATTACACACAGTCTTACACAGCAGACTAACATAGCAAGGATAATGACCAAATCACATCAATATACAACACTCAAAAGACAACACAAACACACTCAAAGAAATATCATAAATAGTAAAGTCAGTACTACTAACAATGAAAGATACGGACAATTATTACAAAAAATAAGAAAAACATAGCATGTAGATATAAATACCTACAATATAGACTCAATTAACAACAAATAAACAATGGACATTCACAAAAACAAAAAGACCCCTCAGAAACAGACATTAAATGACCTAGAAAAATAAAACTCCTAGTGCGTTGTCTAGAAATGACTTTTTTCCAGGAAGATTTATTTGTGAACAAGACACATCTACACAACTAGAGGAATTTTTAGGAAAGACAGAGAAAGAGAATGAGAATGGGAGAAAAAAAGATAAGGAGAGAGTGAGTATGACAGAAAGGAAGAAAGATTGAGAGAGTGAGTTAGAGAATGAGAATGAAAGAGAGAGAGGGGGAGAGAGAGAGAGAGAGAGAGAGAGAGAGAGAGAGAGAGAGAGAGAGAGAGAGTGAGAGTAGATAAGAGTGTAGGGAGAAGAGAAAAAGAACATCTAGAAAACGAGAGTAAATGGGTTAGTTAACAGAGAGAATGACAATCAATGAACGAAAGAGAGAGAAAGTGAGAGAAAGAAGCAAGATATGGAGATCGTAAAGAGAAAGAGAAGTGATTGAGAAAGGGGTAGAGACATTCATCATTTCTTCAGGGACAGGTGTACAAAATATCTAATGATAATTTTAATCAATTGGGCACAAAACACAAACTGTCCCAAAAACTGTGTAAATATGTTAACCTGTGAATGCAGGAAAAAATATGTCAGAATGGCAGAAACAAAGATCATTCTGCAATAGTGGAAAAGTGTTCAAGTGTGGATGAATTTGGTCTGTGGTGGAATGTAGAGTAGCTCCACAGACCTGTCGTCAAACTAGTTGGGTTTTGGTTTAAAATAGATTTTTGTTACTCACTGTGTAAATGTGTGTGTTTGCATTATTTATTGAATTGAAAAATAAAATTGAAGCCAGTGTATACAAATGGTTAGAATAAATGACAAAAACCCAAACTTAATCTGTCAGAGATAGCAGTTTTTCACTCTTGTACAAATGGAACTCAATGAAGAAGACACAAAATTGCTTAAATTAGGACTTACGTCGGTACATTGAAAGACCAAACAATCAAGTATATGCAGACCAAGAGTATTGAAAATAACCAAACTGCAGGTTTATCACTCTAAACAAGAAATCTCACAAGTCAAAATTGACTCTTATTTGTAAAAAAAAAAAAAAATTCACAATAAACAATAGTTTACTAATCACAATGTTAAAGGCTTTTTATGCAGCACAGTTTCATTTAGTTTGACAATATTGCAATATTATGAAAAAAAAGGGAAAAGATACCACAATAGTGATCAATTAGTCCCTGATCAAATGCCTTTTTGAACTCTTTCCTGTTCTTAATTAATGTATTATTTGTTAGTAGATAGCAGGTTCTTCCTCAACCTTGATTAACTGATTTCGTGATTTTTACAGTCGGTTGAATTCGCCCAATTTGTTTTCTTTTTTGTTTTAGATATGGACAAGGGAAAATCCTCTGAAATCATAGTTGATATATTAATTGACTACTCAATAACATTCAGTTCGAGTAGGACTTTAGGAATGGATGTCTATGAATAACATCTGGCAAGAAGTTCTGACTCATTCAGCCTACCTTTGAGCCTTAGTCACTCTTCACTTTGCTAAAAATTCGATAAAGTTTGTGAAGGTCTAGGGGATGACATTATCTCTGACTCATACCTGGCTGCCAGTTCTATTTTAAGTTTCAAGTCCATTTGACACCAAAAACTGAATGAAATTAAAATAGTCCTGAATTTACAGTTGCATCATTTACACTGATTTTATTACATACTCGACCTTTATAGAAGATTTTAAATTTCTTTGAAGACAAACTCAATCCCACCATTGCCAAGGTATGATGATAGGGGCAGGAAACAGGTTTTTAAAATTATTATTATTAAATAATTTATTTCATCTCATATATTTTCTGATATGATTTAAATGTTTGTTTCTTCGCCTGTTTCTACGTATAATTAATAGTTCAGACATTTACATCTTGTGACTCATATTAGTGAAAGCATAAGTTAAAATTAAAGAGAATTGGAGGAATACCAATAATATCAAGCCTTGACAGTGGATTTTCTTGTTTGATGTTGTAACAATTTGTTCTTCACACCTCAGACATGACGAATGAAAAACCTAAAAAAATATTTTAAATTTAATGTACCATGTACGAAATTTAAATATACTATATTAATAGCCCTGTCAGACATTGGAGAAAACAACAAATTTACCCTTGTCTGCGGGGATTTACACTAAGAATGGAAATGATGAAGGGCTCGATGAGTTTTAACGTTCAAATTTGAGAAGAATGAATGTGAAAAGTCTGTTAAAGTTAATTATGTTTTTTATACTTACAATCTTCGGCTTNCTCGTGCCATTGACTTTTTTATCTCAACTAAAAACCTTAATTAATTGTAATATATTAATTGGTCAAGCGGACCACGAAATTAGTGAATTTAGTCTGTTAAAGTTTTAGATGCACCATACTCGCGAATGATCTGGATCTTGGTATCTTCTTGATGAAAAAAAAAATTTCAATTGATACTGCCTAGCTTTTGACCTAATTTAAGGTCATTGTCATGGCAAAACAATCTTAAATATGTCTACAAATTGACATAATTAAGTTTTTAATAGAATCTCTATTAATAGAAATTTCTTTGAATGCATGTGTTACAGTCCTTGGCAATGTTGGGACTGATTGTGAGTCTGTCTTCAAAGAAATTTAAAATTTACTAAACCTAGGATGTGTTACGACTAGAAGGATGTTAGGAGATATATGTGTAGAGGCATTGTGACAGAAACAATCCTGTGCAGATATTGCCAAGAAATGGGCATGTCCTCTGTTGGTGCTAAGGGTGTAGGCTGAGATTCCTACTCGTGGATGAGGAAAAGCCCCTGAAGGATAAACATAGGAGTCTGAAAAAACATGAGATCTGGTCAAATGCCTTAAGCTTGATGAGGAGCTCTAGACATCAATGGAGATGCACAATAGACTGGTACTGGTGCTTAGGTCTTCTAATTTAGTCTAATGTATTAATTGATAGAATCCAAAATTCAACTAATGTATGATAAGAATATTGAGTACTCCACTGCCCTGAGTGAATGGCTATGTAAATAAAAAAGAATGTATTTGAAAGTGTGTGAGCGTGTGAATGGGTTTAGGAACTGATTGCGTTGGGGGTGAAATGACCTAACAGTTGATAGCTGACTCAGAAGCTGGACAGAGAAATCTGAGGTCTGACCTCAGACAGCAAACATACAGGGTGGGTAGTTCTCAAGGGCTTCTGGGTCTGCGAGAAGTGATAGGCTTGTGCAGAATTGAACTTATATAATTCAGTAATCAATAATAATCAACTACTGTACGAATTTAAGCCAAAAATCCCTAACTCATTAATTTTTTTTCACTTTCTTTACACTACGTGTGTGGTTTTGGGGTGAATTCATTATAAATGTGCGTCTAATTTTTGATAAACCTAAATGTTTTTATTTGTAGCCCATGGACACCTTAAGGTCGTTAAAGCATTGGTAGAAGCTGGTGCATGTATCAATCATATTACTCAATCGTACTCGACACCTTTACGAGCGGCTTGTTATGACGGGCGCTTGGATATAATCAAATACCTAGTCGCACATGGTGCAACATTAAATATACCTAACAAATTCAATAATTCATGTCTAATGATATCCGCATTCAGGGGTAATTATTTCAATTATTGTATTATTATTTAAATGTCTAATTATTGAAATTAATCATATTGTTACACTCTTTTCCAGGTCATTACCATGTTGTTAATTATTTATTGGATGAAGGTATGGACCCGAATGAAATGGCTAATTGTGGGGCAACACCTTTATTTTATGCAGCGCAAGCCAATCAGCTCCATGTTTTAAAACTCCTTCTGTCTCGCGAAGCGATTCCTAAACCAACGAAAGCAGGTGCTTATCATAAATTTGTGAACTTTGTGAGGTGGCACTTATTACCTACGGGGTAAATAAGCCTGAGTGCTGGGCGATAAGCGCCCCTCTTCAGTCAAAAGGGGAAGAAAGGGTTAAAACGGACTATGTCCTAAAATTAAGACAAGACCCTTCCCTTTTTATATACAAGAGTTTATTAATAAAGAATCTTTTACAACACTTATGTACACCTGTCCCTTACCAACACCATTCGTTCGTAAAATTTCCCAACACCAAACAAAAGAAATAATAAGGTTTTGCTTGAGCTTACTGGCTCCTTATAAATTAAAGTTTTTCCAATTAGCCGGGAGACCCGATCTGTTCGCCGTATCGCATACACCTGGCTCTTATCATCCCTTTTCCTACGTCCCCTACCACGACGTCACTGTGGGGGGGGGGCCCAATCCTGTATGTGTCGCTGCTGATGTGACAACTTGGAGTAATAAAAGTAATATTTTATATTTTATTGCAGGTTTAACACCTTGTCTGGCTGCAGCTGAACTTTGTAATGAACAAGTTGTCGACTTCTTCTGTTACGATTATAATGGATTGACTATCAGCGAAAAGATAGATGCTTTAGAACTACTCGGAGCGTCTTTTGCCAATGACAGGGATAATCATTGTATAAATAAAGCCTATCATTATCTGCATAAAGCTATGTCATTAAGGTACCAGTAATTAAATATAAATTTCCTATGTTAGTTCTTTATTTTAAATTTATATACAGTTGATTTTTTATTTTTATATTATTACTTATTCCAATACAATTAGATTTAGCTGTCATACAGTTACCTTTTTTTAACTTCAGAACTAAATTCTGAACCTTCCTTGCTAACAAAAGACACTAGCCAGTTTCCTAATGTTCCTTCTGTCGTAGGATTCAAGATTGGCGTACCAAACTGAGAATTGTCGATATATAAAGAAATTTTCAAAAGATTCCTACATCATATAGGGATTTTTGTTGTCCAGGTAAAATTTAAAAATCGGGGAACATACTATTTGAGAAGTCCAGTCAATTTGTAATCCTTGTAATGTGACTGATCACCTTTTTTTCTTCATATTTCATGCACTCAAAGACAAAACTTGGACACTTGTATTTTGTTGTTTATTTTAGACTATATGTATTTTTATCTGTGTAGAAATGTGTGGTGTTTAGTGATCGTTAGTCAATGATTACTCGGAGGTCGTGAGATGCAGTCTGGTGTGATGTAGGTTTTAGAAAAAATTTTCTTTATCGTGCCAACGTTTCGATCTGTATTGAGATCATTTTCAGAGCTCAAAGTGTTTGTTTTCCATGTATTTTTATCATTATATTGATTACAACCTACTTATTTTAACGTAGACCAAATTAAACAAGATCAGAAATTCATGAGTTTTAATAAAAATTATTTAATTATGATGGTTTGAAAGAAAATGCACCAAAATTAATGATTTACTTGGAGGCGGTGAATGATGTCTGTCTATTTGCCGTGTCCCATTAGTGTTCTATAGGATTCATGTGGTAATCGCCACATCTTCCAAGTAATGGGTGACAACTCATGTTACACACGGTTGAGAATTGTTATGCATTAACACAAAATTGTCCCTGATAAATGGAGCAAATGTGACCCAGCTTCCAAAAGAACTCAATAACTGACTATCTTTGAAAAGGCTGTGACTCACACATAAAGCAAAGTGTTCTCCACCACAGACCCGGTCATCTGATTGCCACAAACCAAACCGCACTCGTCTGTGAGGAGAACAGCCCCTCCCCCATTGTTCAAGCAAATAGTCGCTTTCTACTCGATGCCTCTCCAGTAGTAGAGAACCTGTGGGATGTCTAAGAGACTAGGTTATTCTCGTGTAGCCTTCTGATGACTGTTTTAGAGCTCACCCTTACATTACGTACTGTTAATAGTTGACTACCGTCATTAAATGATGGTTCTGTAATGCGATAAGAGAAACAATCGTCTCTAATCAGCATACATCACAATCAACCACTACCTTCTCTTCAAGAGACTTCTAGTGGTTTTAAACCTCTGTAGAGCACCCAGGACATTATGTCCATCGTTGGCCAAAGCATCTGCCTGGGCAAGATATTCTCGACTTAAAACCATCCTTTTAATAAATAAATTTACTTTTTTTACTCAAATTTATTGCTTCATCATATAAAACAATTTAAACAAATTACCTATCACAACAATTTGGCTCTGAAAAAGAAGAAATTGAACTGATTTTCTTTATTTTTAATCTTTAGAGTGTAAAAGGATTAGTAACACTATTAGGTTAAACAAGTAACTAATTACAATTAATTAAGGTTTTTAGTTGAGAAGAAAAAAGTTAATGGCACGAGCGGATCCGAACCCACGATCTTCGGCTAGATACGCCGCTGCTCTACCACTTGAGCTATCGTGACCTCGATCCACTCGGACATCAACTTCCTATCTTAACCCCACCTTATGAGTTTTCCTTCCTTTTTGCCATTTTTCAAAATTCGCAGTCGAATTCTGCTCGTGCCATTAACTTTTTTTCATCTCAACTAAAAACCTTAATTAATTGTAATGTGATAATTTGTCAAGTGGACCATGAAATTAGTGAATTCAAGTAACTAATGTTGCGTTTATATTTTAAATTGACTATTAATCTTAGGCTCATGACATACTAGGCGTCTAAACACTAGATGCAAATAGCAGCGTCCGAATTGAAAATCGCTGACTGTGTACATTAAATGAATGAAGACATACTGGGTGGACGTGCGAAAAGGCGTCTAAACTTTTGATTCCTTTTGTTGGCGGGTGAGCGTCTAGATGCTGTAGAGTGGACTGGAATCCCAGTGACAGCCAGTCGTTTGAGGTGGGAGAAGAGCATTTTGACACCTAGTATGTCATCAGACACGAAAAGCGATTTTTTAAGACACGGTTTTAGGTTTCTAGCATTTAGATGCCCAGTTTATCATGAGCCTTAGGAGACATTGGTGGCTGGACGGTTTAGGCGTTGACACGACACTCATCATTGTAAGATAACGAACCCAGCGGTGCTGCATTTGACCCCAACATACTTACAAATGGTTTTTTTTCTCTCTAAAAACACTAGCACACTGAGGGTTCATATAACCAACCCCATAGTTGAAATACCCTTATAAAAAAATGTTGTGTTTATGTTTTAAGTCAACTATTAATTTTTATACTAGTTATTATGGAAAATACAAGTGTCCAGTTATTATTTTTTCATAAACGCCAGTTTTCCATATATTCTCAGCTTATGATTGAATATTTCTCAAAGAGCACTAATGATTGAGGAGAACGTTTTCCAATTTTTCTAAGACATTTGTGGTAAATGGAGAAATTTTTCTATTCCAAAATCACCTTATCTGTTAATTGTTAAATATTTGTCCATGGTTTCGTTTTCTATGGCACGCTATCTACACTTGATTCAGTTCTTATGCAACTTATTTATTTGCAAATTGCTTGGGGATCGTTTGATATTACACATTTATTGTTAAATAGTTACATCTTTCTTCTCATTAATTCTCTCGTCGATGATTGGTATAATTTGATTGACTGTTTTTGTTTATTTGTAGATACCAAGACTCAGATAACATCATAACAAAACCTAATGTCACACCTATCAGAGCGTACAAATTTTGGGTAGAAAGTCAGACTTTGGATGAGCTGGCCAAAATCCGCAGCAATGCAGATGCATTACACATGGAAGGTTTAGTAATAAGGTAAAATGCTTTAAAATTTTATTAGTTGAAGCAATTAAAAATAATTAATAACAAAATAAATGTTTCCTTTTAACAATAAATTTTACATTGATTATTTGACCATTCATTATTGTAATAATCTGTTTATCAGAGAAAGGATACTTGGTCATTCAAATCCAGAACTGCTTACTCATATTCTTTTCCGTGGAGCCGTTTTTGCCGACGATGGCAAATATCAAAGATGTTTAGACTTGTGGTTCCATGCTTTAAAACTAAGCATCAAAAATGGCCTTCGAGTTTCTAAGGATTTAGTCAGATTCATTCAAGTGAGTTAATTTGATGTAATACAAAAATCTTATTTAAAAAATAAATAAATAAATAAAAAACAGTTGTCCAGTGCATTTTTGCATAATGAATAAATACTTGATACTACAATAATAATTTTTTTTAAATTTAATTTTTAGATATTCTGCCAAATGGAAAGATTAGGATTGGAAATTCAATTCTCCATGTTGAAAAAAATTTTGTCAATAGCAATAAATGAGGTGAGTCTTGCCAAAAAACGATATGACGACCCTCATTGTGACGAAGAACATCCAGTGAAAGATGTAAGTAGAAAAAACTATCATTTTACTCATTTTTTTCTGCCAAGCACTTTACGGGCAAAATGCAAAGGTAGCCCCACCCACACTGCCACTGAGGCGAATACCAGGTGCTTGTCCTTCTAGGGATATGCATACCTCTTTCATACTAAGGATGTATCAAAGGTGGAAAAAACCCTTAAAAGTGCTATGGATCTAGCTCTAAGCGTCCAGATAATTTACTCCATGTAGAACCTTGGAATAACTATATTCAAACGTACAACATTTTAATGTTACAGTAACAGATTAATCGTATCCAGCTAATTATTGACAAAGTAGTGATTTTGACAAACATAAATTACATGATTAAATTCACTAATTTCGTGGTCCGCTTGACCAATTAATACATTACAATTAATTAAGGTTTTTAGTTGAGATAAAAAAGTCAATGGCACGAGCGGGATTCGAACCCACGATCTTCGGCTAGATACGCCGCCCGCTGCTCTACCACCTGAGCTATTGTGACCTCGATCCACTCGGACACTAACTTCCCATCTCAACCCCACCTTTTGAATTTTCCCTCCTTTTTGCCATTTTTCAAATGTCGTGTAATCGGATTGGATTCTCGACGATAAATGAAATGGTAGAGCAGCGGTGTATCTAGCCGAAGATTGTGGGTTCAAATCCCGCTCGTGCCATTGACTTTTTTATCTCAACTAAAAACCTTAATTAATTGTAATGTATTAATTGGTCAAGCGGACCACGAAATTAGGGAATTAATTACAATTTTTTTTTTTTTTTTCAAAAACCCCAAGGGTTCAAATGACTTCTGCTATTGCGAACCTTCGTAAAAAAAAAAAAAGATTTTGATACTTTTTTGTGATACTAGATCAAAAAACATTAGAAACATGTGCAAACATTCTCATCAAAGGACTGTAGGGTCTGAGAAAACAAATATTTTAAGTAATTTATATGGTTTTCAAATATTTTTTCAGCCTTTGTTGTGCATATAAGTAAAAAAAGTAAAGTTCGGTGTCGCACATTTAGCGTTAAAAATAATATCTAGGATCTTATTAATTAAGATTAGATATATGACAAGTTACAAAAATCTAAAGAAAGCTTTTTCTAACTCAGATTTCTTTTAAGCACATAAATTTATTAAATTTATAATAAAATTAAACTAGTAACAAGTCTTTTCATACCTAAAAAAAATAAAAGTAGACTACTTTCAACAGAATTTAGTGTAAAATAGTACCAATTTTACTGATTTTTGCCAATTACTGGGTAACCAGAAAAGTTTGTGCGGGATTTAAAAGGTTAATTGTCACAATTAGAATTAGTTCAGAAATAATTTGTTCAGGGAAATAATCTCCATTGGTATCTATACCACAACGTGTTATTAGCCCAATTTTCTTATAAAAGTTTGAGCCCTGGGGCTTAAAAAATAAATTCAACTCATTTTCTAGCTTTCAGCGATTATCGAACATCCGATTGAACATATGATTGACAGTTACTAAGAAAAAGAGAAAGTCAGATAATGCCAGATGCGGTAGTACTTCGCAACCAAAGTTCTCACCTCCTTTGTCATACTGGTTATGTCTAGTCTCCCATTTTCCTGGTGAAAAATTACTACACTGTGTTTACGAGAGCAGGTCATTTCTGAGCTAATGCAAGTGATTCTCGTTACATTGAATAGGTTTCTGCAGTTAGCTTCTTGTTCTCCACCAAATACATCACCTTTTGCTGGTGAATATTTTGTTGTGTGTGGGGGGGGGTGTATTTTAGCGGGTTTGAGCTAAATTCAAACAATAAGCATATACAAATTATGGATTTTGAAGCCATAAGAAAGGAATATTTTATAACTTATAGTGGTCTGTTCAGGGCAGTTTTTTTTACAAAATGATGATTATCCTCATCATATTTTGTGATTTAAATACGTAATCCTTCTACATAAAAATGTTAATTAACAGTAGTAAAACAAAAATAGGAGTGGTCCAGCCTGCATCTGTGGTACAGGGGACCTATAGGAATCCAATAATCTATTATCCCTAGAACCGCGAAAGATGCGGACGGTGACAATGATATGCACTTATGTCGTGTAGTAGTAAGTAAATGTAATCTGAATATGATAAAGGAAAGGGAGAGGATCTATGCGGTGCATGTTGCTTAAAATAAAAAAAATAAAAAATTAATAAGTTAAATTAAAAGTCCTGTCATTTTTGTTTTTTAGGATGATCTTCAATTTACTCTTCTAGTCGCATTATATCTGTTAGTTTTGACAGTGAATATCTTACCAAATAATGATTCTTTGGAACGAGAAGACGTTTATGAAATGGGATATAAATTAAATAAAATTAAGGTAATCTTTATTTTTCACTTTTCCAGGCAAATAGTCTTCTTTTTATTTTATTTGAGCCTGTCTTTGAAATGGCGCTTTGAAAATCTTCAAAGTTTATTCAGCACTTCTTTTAAATTTAAATGCAATCCATAATTTTGCTTCATAATGAGAAGCCTTTTATCTTTCTAGTATTTTAATAAACTCTTTAAAATTACCTCTAATTCTAGGCAAGAAATAAAGAAGGAAAGACGTTATTACATCTTTCAGTTGACCCGTTTACCCCAGATTGCTTCAGAGCCAATCACTCTGGAATCAGGTAAGTGTTTCCTTAAAGAATATTAGCCATAAATACATGAAATATCTGTAATTTGTATATTATATCAAGTAAAAGTCTTTGTACTGATAAACATAAAAACTTTTTAACCTGAAAGGATTAACAAAACACTGTCATATAATACTCTGTCGATATCATATGTACAAATACTCTAAGGACAGTACGAAAAATGAGTGTATGTATCCAACTTCTCAGGTGTTATACTTCGTTTTGATAAATGTTTATGTTTTGTCAAATATATTTATTGCACTTTTTATTAATCATAATTCTTAAAAAGATGCTCTTAAGTGACTATGAAAAAGGACAAATTGTTGCATTGTGTGATGTCGGTTTTAGTTGCCACGGTACAGCAGTTCTTATTGGGCATTCTAAAACTGACGTGAACAATTTTTAACTTTTAAAAGACAACTACAGTAGCAAAAATTCAGGTGGGGAAGGCCTCAAAAATTTTCAAAGCATGACCGATTAACAGTTTTACATCGGTATCTTCTGGGGGAAGCAACCCACTACATATTTTTATTTTGAAAGTTTAAATATCTTCTAATAGTGAATACTGTTTTAGCTTTCCTTGCCCAAAGACGACAAAACTCCTTTTGGAATGTGGAGCTGATGTTAATGCCCTTGATAAAAACAGAAACACCCCTCTTCACACGATTGCCACATATAAAAGATCAATAAGGTAAAGGTTACTAATTATTTTTTGTTTCTTAGTATCTAAAATCTAAATCATAAGTGTACTGGATACAAACAACTGATAAAACCTTTTACAAATGAGTCGGATGCAAATCATATCTAGAAATCACAATACTACAAAATGCCAGAACTTAACCTTCACCCTCCGTCCACTCTACCTACAATATAGTACTGAAAAAGTCAGCCGCTACCTTGAGCTGTATCTAGTCAAGTGACTGACCTGGAATCCCACAACTTAAAGGAATGGTACTGAAAGACTATCAGACAACGCATCTAACGGCATAGAAATAAGGCAACCAAACCTTCCAATTTCCACAAAAGCCATACCCTACAATTATGAATCCTGAATGAACTCATGAACAATCATGAATCAAAAAGAATGCTGCTCGGCGTTCTTCCTTGAACTCTAAGGCTTTCAATCGACACCTGGGGTTGCCCTTAAAACACTTCTTCATCTTTGAGTCATACCTGGCCAACAGGCACTTTAGACTTGAGTGTATTGGTCCTTAGCATCCCTCATGGTTACATCCTCGGTACATTATTGTTCTCAGTACGGCTACATATGACACCAAACCCTCCTATTTCAGTGATGAATGTTCGCAAAATAGGAAATAAAACTCAACTCAAAATCCCAAAACATAACCTTCACCCTCTGCCCACTTTACCTTCAATTTATAAACCTCACCTCCTTTACTGCCAAAAATTGCCTAGAAAAGCGACTGACCTGCAATCCCCATGACATATATACAACTCAACACTGCAACTGACATAGACATACGGCTACTAGGAATTAAGGGGTTCAGCCAAACCTCTGTAGAATCCTATCAGTACAACCAACGAATCTTATCTATCATTAATGGCTCATTTTATGTTTCCAACTGCACCTTCCAAACAGACCTAAAAGTTCCCTTTATAAAATAAGCAGCATGATCCATCTTCCAAACTTTCCATGATAACCTTTGATCCCACTAATCCTCATGTACAAAAACTTCTCTTCCGGTCTTTTCCCAATAATCATTCTCAATGTCAAAAGCATGTAAAAAAGTTTTGTTATTTAGATAAAATGTTAAATTATGGAAATTACCAGTTTGTATCTTAAATCAAAATAATTTGTAACTCGGCCTCTGGAATTTGTTTGTTTGTTAAGAAATGATTTAATCCGATGATATTATAACAGTAAGCACTGAATAGCTGACGAGATTATTTATTAGCTTATCAAGCCTTACATCACTACACTTTTCTCTTTGTCATAATTATAAAGGTGTTATTTCACTGCTTTATACGGTAGTCAGTCCTTTCCGAACTTGCTAGAGGGAAGCATTTCTTTTATGTTAAAACTTGAAGGTAGTTTTACAAATCGAAAGTACTTTTATTCGTAAATCGTAAAATAGCATTTAATTTCTTTTTAAGAATTTCATTTGATAACTTTGAATTGTCCTTATCGTAAGATGATGTTCTGGTTTCTTATTTTGCAGTTTATTCCATTAAATGTATTAATTGTTTTAATTTCATTACTTGTTTGTTTCAAGGGACTTTAAAACATTACATTCCATTATAACACATCTCACTGACGCTGGAGCTCATATGGATATTGTAAACCTTAAAGGAGAAACACCAATGGATTCAGCCAATTCAGGTAATCATTTATCATTTATTAAACAAATTATAATCCCACTGTTAGTTAACTCATCTGCAATGATTTGTTGTACCACTCCCAAAAAAAAGATATATTTTTATAGTGCATTACAAGTAGACTTGTGTCATTCTGGAACAATGCACTTAACAAAAGTTTTCATTGAACGCTTTCCGTCAAATTAGTTGATAAAACAAAAAATTGTAATTAATTTAATTGGGAGGAGGTGTAAAAATGAGATGGGATCCCCGGACCCATTCCATTAGCTACTCATCTGCTCTCAAATTTCACATTTTCCAAAGCCCCCAACTCATTAAAAAAAAGTGATGGCGACTCTATGGTGGGTTTCATTTGGGCTGATTTACTACAGCTTCTTGAATCCTGATGAAACAATCAATGCCAAAATGTATTGCTGTCAAATTAAAGCAATGCACCAGAAATTGGCATCTTTGGTCAATCGGAAAAGGCTGAATCTGTAAAACAACAATGCACGGTTCGATGTCTCACATATAACAACACGAAAATGGTTGGATTTTGGTTATGAGGTTCTGCCTATTCTAAAGACCCCTCGCCTACCGACTATCATGTTTTCAGACGCTTGGATAACATTTTACAACATAAAAAATTTATTAATCAAAAGTCATTAGAAAATGCATTTACAGAATCTAGTAATAAAGACTCAAAATTCTATTCAGAGGGCAGACAAGTTGCCATCATGTTGAGAGAACTGTATTCATAATGTTTAAAATCAGTGATTTAATTTTTTTTTTAAATTCACTAATTTCGTGGTCCGCTTGACCAATTAATATATTACAATTAATTAACGTTTTTAGTTGATTTAGCAAAGTCAATGGCACGAGCGGGATTCGAACCCACGATCTTCGGCTTGATACGCCGCTGCTCTACCACTTGAGCTATCGTGAACTCGATCCACTCGGACACCAACTTCCCATCTCAACCACAAATTTTTTTCATTTTTTTATAACCATAAACCTGCATTATTTTCCGGACAATCCAACATATAAAATTAAAAATCTTATAGCTCTAAGTACTGAACAATGAATGATCTTTGCCTGCTTCCATGCTGATATGCTACTTATCGGTAACAGGAACCCCGGAGCTCATTCTGAAGCCTCGTAGTTGGCTGCATTGGAAGATATGCTTAACATTTTCCTTTTGGTACATAATGTGCACCAACGTGGTCCGTTTTTTGATGGAAAATCATGAATTACTATTTATAAGTAATTTTGAAACAATTTTAATATACAATAAAATGTCATCTTTAATTAAATCAATCAAGCATCATTTATGATATTAAATGGAATTTTAAAAACATTCTTTGACTAGGCATTCGGTGTAAACAGCATTAAAGATATATAGCAAATACGAGTGCTGTTGTATTTTTAAATGCAAAACACTTTACCAAGCCGTTAAAAAAAGTTTTTTTTTTCTTGTAAAAAATAAATCTAAATTTATCGGCTTATCTTTTTTTCTACAGAAAACCCAAATTTTGTCTTGTGATATGCAAAATTATCTCTGAATTGATATCAATTTGCTTACTTTTAATTATAGTCAGACTTCCTGAGCTTTTTTTGTCTGTAGAGGATGGGGCTTCATTCTTCCAAAAAATGATCCAAAACTAAGCAGACTTTTACTGTAATAGTTTATTTTTTAAGGCAGAATAGAAAAAAATATTATATAAATTAAACTGAAAAATAACATTGCACGTGTTTCATATGTACAACTATCATTATTATTTATTAGAAGGAAAAGATTTCTTTATGTCCTTATGATATTCATTTTTAGCCAGATAAGGCGAAAAAAGATAATAAAAAGAATACATAAAAGAATAAATGAACTAATTTCAACACAGTTCTCTTGTTTTCTTTCAAATTTTTGTTATAGATTTCTAGGCTTGGTTTGAAATAACATGCAGAAATATTTAACCGCTGTTTTATCATGACTCTGACTCATCTGTTTACCTCGAATTTTATAATCAGTTATTTTCAGTTGAATAATTACAGATTTCGTTCACTGATAATTCAGCTTTTTTTAAATAAATTTATCCCAAGGAATTTTGTAAGTTATTAACATTTTTTTAAATTATTGATTCCAGCCCTTGCTGAAGTAATATTTCAGACGCAGACCAAGCCTCCACCGCTGAAATGTTTAGCTGCTCGAATCGTTGCAAATAATAGAATAAACTATGTTGGGCAAGTTCCCGTAGGATTAATACCTTTCATACAACTGCATGGGACAGGTACCTTCTATATATGGTAAAAATATTTTTTTTCTCATTTATGTTTAATACTAAACTACATTTAAGAATTTGTTAAGGTAATTTTAAAGGGGGTTTATTTATTTAACTAGGAAATAAATATGAATTTACTTCGATCAAATTATACTGAAATGTAAAAGTAAAAAGTTTTTTTCAATTATATTTTTAAAAATGGGACACAAATGTCATATAAATATCATGAAATCATCTTTTGTACATGAAACTTTTGTAGATTTTTTTTTTTGGCGTTATGAACTATGCATATTAGCCATGTGACAATTCATATATGTGTGTTCAAATTTGGGGGGGTTATTGTGAAAAAATGGCCAGAGGCGACGGTGGGAATCGAACCCACGACCGCGGCGTGAGAGTCTCTCATGCTAACCACTCGGCTACCGCGGTCCCCGGACTTAAGTTAAATAGGTAAATTTCGGTGATTGTGTGTGGAAGTATCGACGAACAAAATACCGTTTTTTTTACCTTGTATTCATGTGGGAAGTCAAAAAAAATTTTTGTCCTCCAAAATCAAAATTTCCACTTGCATTTTGCGTTCCAGGCCTTTCTGAACAAATTTGGTTCTGTGTCTGTCGGTGGTCAATTCTCCTTGTAACTGGCAAAACTTCGATACCGTATAACCAATTTTTATGAAAATTGTATAGATTGTGCAGTTTCCCCTATATTTATTCCAGACAGATTAACATATGCGCATCCACATGCACAAAATGTGAGGAAGATATACTGCCCACCCACTTGGAAGACTTTTTTTAAATTTTGTTACTGTTCTGTAGGCCTCTGATGGCCAAATAAGAGGACAAAAGCTTGGCAATTATGTAACACATGTACCATCATTGGCCATAATCCAAATAATAATAATAATAAAAAAAACATTAATTTTGGTGATGCCTGTGAGGCCTGATCTTTCTATTCACACAAACCATGGGTCACTCTTGGATACGAACCCAGAATCATCCCCCGTATGGCAATTACGCATCAGATGCCCTGTTGTCTGGGCGAGTTCTTGATCCACTCGTCCACTGCGTTTCCAAAAGTAAAGTAATTCCTGTCATACAGGTGGGCTAATGTCCCACTACCCTTTGCCTAGGCAGTTATATAGTAGTAGTAAAAGTTTGGATGTCGTGGTCGAAGGCTTCAAACCACTTTACAACACTCTTTCATGCTGTTCTCAATTAAAAAGTCATAGGATTTGCTGGGATTCGAACCGAGGACTGCTAGCATGGCAAGTAAGAATCAGACGCCTTAACCACTCGGCCACTGCAGTCCCCTAAAAAAAATGTCATATTCCAGCAAAACTTTCCTGTATAAAAATAATAATAATAATAAACTCAATATGATTTCCATATTTTAAAATAAATGCATTTATCTGTTCTCTTTTAGCGATGGAAGAACTACCGGACAACATTTATTAAGTGATTTTTCATGATTATTTTTTGTCGAGAGAAAAAGAGACATTATTTTCTATTAAATTGTAGTTGTATATTGTTGAAATTTTGTGTACAACAGTTGACTATCAAATGACATTGAATTGAAAATAGTTGTATTTTCTAAAGAAAGTTTAATATATCAAAAAAAAAATAATAATAAAATCTGTTATTTATTCATTATGAAATGTTGCATTGTTGTTATGAGTGAAATGTTACAAAGAGCATGGTAAAAATATAGTAATAAATGTTGGCTATGTTGAATATTCAATTAGAACAAATTGATTTACTTGAGATTTACTAGTATCTTTATTTATTTTAGTTTTATTGGACTATCAGTATAAAGGCAAGCTTTATTTCAGTTTAACGTAAATCACAGATGTAAAGTTAACTTTTCAGAAAGGCTTCAATTAATTTAAGAAAGAATGAATAAAGAAGACCTGTCTGAATCAAAGCATTGAATGTTTTCATGCGGCTAATGTGAGCTCAAATAAAATAATAATAAAAAACTCATTGCCAATTACTACATGACACTTACAAGTAAATCAGTTTGGCATATTATGGAAATATTTGGTGATTGTGACAAATTGAAAGAAAAATGGTGTTAGTCAAATTTATAATGACAAATGATTGATTTAAGATGTTACGAACCTCACGTTCACAAGTTGAATTTAAGACGCTAGTGTAAAATTGATTAAAATTGTGTTGGGTTTGTTTTCCAAGCCCATTTAAAGGAAAGTCGGGCTGTTTCTGAATGTACTGAAAGCTTACAACTTCTGCCAATGAAGTGAGCTTTATTTTTGACAATATCAAATCTAGAAATACATGACAATAGGCAAAAATCAGATACCTTAGCAATATATGCACTGCGATATGGTGTCTTGTAGTTCAAGACATCTGACACCACTTCTAGAAAGAAAAACAAAGACTCAAATGAAGGGTGGAGATTCTGGTATCTTCCAAATCTGGTCAGCAGGTAGCCATCCTACAGCTCTGCTTCAATACTTGGGTCTGCAGCCCCAGTTAAGTTCAATAATAATCTGGTGCGATACTTAGCAGCAATCTAATACATCACGGACCTTATTTTTCTATTAGGAATCATGAATATTGTACATCCTGTTAATGCAGAAAGGTGAGGGTAAAAATCTGGTTTATACTGGTGTAAATCCTACATCTCTGCTCCAGCACGGCTCCAGTTAAATTCAGCAATGATCCTTAGCCCTCGTAAGCTTACTTCGGCAACTTTGGGCTTAATTTCAGTAGTTTCCTGCTATTAGTCTCCTATAGGTCTAAGATTTGGATCTAAAATTACATCCCAATTTGAGCTTGAAATGATCCACGAAGGCCCTCTGTCATAGAAATCTTGCACCAATAGGTAGTGCTAAAACACCAATGCTTTTGGTTAACTGTTGGAATTGCATGGAAGCCTCCAGGTTGTCTAAATTACTATTCCAGCATACAAAATCCAATCCATAAGACTTAGATGTAATTACATTCGATGGTATGCAAATCCATCAACAGGACCTACCTAAAAAAATACCAAGAAAAAGTCCACTTATCCAGTTTCTGGGCTTCTTCTATAACATCGAAATCAATCATGTGGTGGAGGGCTCTTCATGCCACCTTGTCCTCCCCCTGCATTAAAAGGAAATGTCCTTTCTAGTCTAATAGCACTATTGAGTCCACCATAGGTAACATCAGTAATGATTCAAATGTCAACTTTTAACCTCTACCTAGGAAAACAATATTATACAATAATACATTAAAATTATAATTAGATAAATAAATAATTAATGGATTGGGACTAGATAAGAGACAGTATTTACATTTTTTTTTTTTCAAACAAACCCATTATCAAAAGTATTATCAATTTTGTTGGCTGTGAGGATGAGGAGTATGATAAGAATGTAACAAAGCTATATTAAAATAAATTATTGTATTGTACGTTCTTGGCATCCTGCCTTGTTTTCCATAATTCCCCAGCAGATTTAATAATTAGTAATTTCAACTTTTTGACAACACCATTAACTTCTAACAGTTTTTCCGTAACCTTTGGAAACTTCAAAAATTTTATACAGCCAAGATTTGATTTACTGTAGCATTAATCACTCAACTTAACTCATATGGCAATTTTCTGGACTGATTTATGTTAAGCTGTTAATTAAACAAAACACTTAGAATTGTGAAATTATATTCGATGGCATGCAAATCCGTCAACAGTTGACAATAATTTCATCAAAAGTATCTGGTCTCTTTATTCTTGTCATAAGTAATTTGTTTTAAGCAATGAAAGTCTGTTTACAAGTGGTTTTTGTCCTTTAATGAAATTTTTCTCTAGGAAATAAAAGTGACAGTGTTATACACTGTCTTCCTTTCAGGTTTGTAAGTAAAGAAGCAGAAATTTTGAAAGAAATTCTAGAGGTTTTGAGCATTTTGGTAGTTTGTGCATCAGCAATGTTCAAAATCTTGGTCTTATTAGCTTTTTTCTGCCTGGCAAGACAGAAACATAAAAATCACAGCCAACCAGCAAACATTAATTATTATTAATTATTTGTTATTAATAATTTAATTATTGTTTAATACTAAAAGTGCTAGAATTCTGCAGTAAATTTTCATCATGGGTCCTGGTGGTGAACATGTAGTTTGGTCGTTTCCGATCATTCTGGTCTGCCTATCCTCACTGCTGTGGCCTGTCAGAAGCGTTTCGACATTTTGCAATCTTCATTGTTCGGTACGTTAAGAACAAATAACGCACAGACCGAATGCTGGTGGTGAAATGTTGAAACTCATCTGACCAACCCAAACAGCGAGGATAAGTAGACGAGTATATACGGAATACTAATAATTATTAGATTGAAGGGGAATGTAATGAAGTAGGTACTAAAGAAAATAAAACATTATTGATTACAAAAAATAGTATTTATCCGAGCCAAATCAAAGATCTGAAAACAAAAAATGCTGAAAAATTAATTGTATACATTTTTCAAAAATAATAGCATCAAATTTAATTTTAAACATTAAAAAAAATCAATTGTATGATTTGACACTAACCTTTTTTTATTTATTGTCTGAATTAAACCAATTACTATTAATTATTGTTTTCTTTTTGTCTTCAAGCAATAAAAGAAGTAGAAAGAAAAGTTTCAATGTGGAAACAGCGAAAATGTTTTTTTTCTCTCTCTCTCTCTCTATTATACATGTTTTTAACAAACAATCAACAATTTAAATTTTTTATTTCGCAAAATAATTTGTCAGTAAAATAAATTGTTAAATGGATTGCCTATGACATTGAATAAAATAGTGTATGTTCACATAAATAACCCTTTTATATGTGTCTTTCTTTTTAAAAAATCACTGTGATATGAATTTATAAATTTGAAACCCCGTTAAAAAAATATAAATCAAAAGTATTTTTAAGATTTTAAAAAATTATAATAAAATTGAATATAACTGTTGAAAGAGTTTCCTGATTGATTGTAATAAAAAAATGTCCTGGTGTAATTATAAGCAAGTACTTCCAAATTATCCATAAACGTGGAATATTTTAAAAAATTTATGTTTTAAACCATTCTTTCCAGTTTAAATTTTGAATGTAATGTAGTTAACCTTATGTTACAAAAAGTACAATTTTTTATTACTTAATGTCAATTTCGCTTTAAATATATGTATCTAGTCCATTGGTTTTTAAAAATATGTATAAACATGTTTTGTACACTCTCTTGTAAAAAGTAATGTTTTTCTAAATAAATAAAATATTTTGCCATTTTTGGAATGGTAGTCTTATATGTAAACCTTTCATTTACCCATGGCTAGTTTTTTGTTTTTATTTTGATAAAATTGCCAAAAACGTAGACCCGTCAGACAATGTGTTAAAATATCCAGCCATGACAAGAACATACAAAAAGGACAAATGGATGAGAAAAATGCTCAGACAACTGGTGAAATGCTAAAACATGTCTTACAGTCGTGAGCATGTCACAGACGCAATGGTATTTTGGAATTTTCTCTCAGCTCTATAATTTTTAAAGTAAACTATCAATTTTTGCATTCTTCATCAACTTCATCCATGCAGTTAACATTTGATATTACCCTACATGTGTTAGTTTGTCGTAGTTAACCAAACTAATTATCTAATTTTAAAATTAATCATACTGTTAATCTAAGGTCTAAGGTCGATGAAAAAGTTAATGCCATGAGCAGGATTCGCACCCATGACCTTCGGATCAAGCTGCTCTCTATCCAGTTGAGCTATTATGACTTCAAAAAGTAAGGTAAAAGTAAACAAAAAGTATAATTAATTAAAATAATTTTACAGTCAGCTATGACTACTAAACATGAACTGTTCAAAACTGAATAGGGGATAAGGCCAATTTTGTAGTATTTCTTTCCCTAGCATTTTTATTTTATTTTTATTATATATTGCATTAAAATTTATTGGAAATTATTGTTTTTTACTGAAGAAAAATTGAATTAAAGGATTTTGGAAAATAATTGTAAAATATTTTATTTCCATAATTTTGTTTATTGGGCACAATATCTTTAAACAATTAATTCTGTGTATAATGCCCTCTGTTAGCTAAAATCTCTGTGCACCTGTTAGACATACTGTTAATAAGGGTGATTTCAGAAGGAATTTCTCCCCATAAATGTTGCAGGTCAACTGCCTATGGATGGGGATTGAAAAGCCTTCTCTGCAGCACATCCCACATGTGCTCCATGAGAATGAGGTCTGGAGACAATGGGGGAAGGGGCAGATTGGAAATTCCCAGGTTTTCTAAACATCGATAAACAACTCGGCCTCTATGAGGTCTTGTCATCCAGAAATCGAAAATCCCTGCCAATGGGATCCCTGGTTTGAGGGATGTATTCCTCGATAATTGCTTGGACATAACTGACTACGGTGAGGGTGCCCAATTCGCCCTCCAATGTAAATCCCAGCCCAGTCCGTTACACCACCTCCAAACTGCTCTGAAGGAAGCACGAACTGGGGCATGAACGCATCCCCTGGTCTCAGTAGACTCTTCAGCGCATGCTGTCACTACACAGACAGAAACGCGACATCACTAAAAATAACAGCATTCCCACTGGTATTCTCTTCTAGGTGCTTGCTGCACCATATTCTCCTGAATTGCTGCAGGTCATCTCAAAGGGGCATACGATGTGAGGCAAACATCCCACAAACGATTCGTAATCGTTTATGTTGATAAAGGTCTAAAATATCTTGTACTTCATTTAGGATCTGGCGGGCACTATCGAAAGGGTTCCGCCTAGCAGAAATGGCAATATTTGTAATGTGCTGAGGTCCACTGCAGGCCTCCTAGTCTCTCGGAATCAGGCTAAAACCCAGGAGACCACACTCTGATAAAAGCCAATTGCCTCTGCGATATCCACTTGCCTGTGATCTCAATGACTCATTCTCACAATATTCAAGATGATGTCTTTTCATAGTTAAAGAGAATACAACTGGATTAAAATGGAGAAAAGATGAGAAAAGGAGTTTATTTACAAAATGAATAATCTTCATGTTTACTATTCATAAGTAAATCCGTTATTAAAATTGAGGGTTAACATTTGTTTGTTTTTGGTTTGTATTTTCTATTTTGTTTTATCCAACTAACAAGAATATATCGGTTAATTTAATTGAAATTAATAGAATAAAAATAAATTACAAATATCCCTATTCATTTTTGAGCAGTTTATATGAATTAATGCTATTCGGAAATAGCTTTAATTAAACAATTGTTGGTTAAAAACTATCTTCTGTTAAACTTGTATAAAACTACTCTTATCAAATTCTTATTAAAAATTATCCTTATAAAATTCTTTAAATTCTTAAAATTAAAATTCTATTAATATTAATTTAAATTTCTACAAAATTAAAACTCTTTAATTTTTCTTATTAAAATTATACTTATCTCAAAAATAACTTTATTAATTCCAATATGGTATACATTCTTTCCTGTTTAAATAATATTATCATGAATCGTTCTTCAAATTGTTCATATCCTTCAATTGCCTTTGTAAGTGAAGTTAAATATATTGGAGTCATATTGGTACCAGGCTTAAATTTGCCCCCATTTGCATTGATTCCTTAGTACAGATCTTTAAACATGCGTTTGTGATGTGTTTTCAGGGTGGATGCACATCTTTTATTAGGTGAAAATTTCCATATAGGTTTAGGTTGTCTGGGTTAGGCTATGTTAGGTTAGGTTAGATAGGTTAGAGTTAGGGTTAGGAATAGTTCAGTTATATTGGGTTAGGGAGGATCAGGTTTGGAAAGGGTAAGAATGGTTAGATTAGGGTTAACAGGAACTGTTAACAAAGCTTTGGTATCTAATACAAATCCTTAAGCTTAACTAAGAGCTGAAGATAATGACGGAGACTGTACAATAGACCAATATTAGTCACACAACCATTTGGGATTGCATCAAGGACCTGTCACACTTTGGGGAAATAATTACATTGTTTCAGTACCAGATTATACAGGGCAGAGAAAGCTGATAAAACGGCCAAAAAAATGTTCAATCAAGACTTCAGTCAGCCCTAAACTCTTTTGCAGCATACCAAATTGCCGAAAACATCCATCAGACAATGGGTTAAAAAAAAATTCTCAGCTCAAGTCATTCCAGTGCAGAGGTAGGCAAAAAAGTTCATCAAAGGGCTACTGCAGAAAAGGCAGAACTACTAAATCTAGGATATGTTAGTACTAGAATGATAATAGTACTGCAGGCTGAAGGCATATACAAGTCTGTGCAGACATTTCCAGGAAGAAGACGAGATTGTAGAACATGTCCTCTGTTGATGGCTGTAGATTGAGATCTTACTCCTCGATGAGTAAAAGCCCCAGAAGGAAAAATCGGGAGACCTTGAAAAAAACTTTGAAATCTGGTAAAAAGCCTTAAGCTTAATGAGGAGCTTTAGTCATCTATGGAGATGCACAATAGTCCAATACTGATGACGGTGTGCAGGTAAAGTGGCCGACTCCTTCTCTAATCTAATCTCATGGCATACAAAGAAAACCTTAGAGCCATCACAAAATGATAGGACAACGAAACTTTGACAAAACCTTCCAAGTGGTCAGAGAAAACGAGATCTTTGGAAGAAAGCCAACTGTAAGTTTCAAGAGGCCCTATGGTATTATACTAATGGATCTAAGATGGAATAGGAAGGTGTAAGTGTAAAAAGACCAAATACACCCTAGGAAAACCCCTTGGACTGGTCACATCAATCTTTCCAAGCTGAGTTCGATGCAATTCAAATGCATAGAAGTTTATAAAGAACATGAAAGGTGCACAGATTTACTTTCAGAAAATTGGACTAACTATAAAGACAAATGCCTTTAGCTCCAAACCAGTGTGGGAATGCCTAGATCGCCTAATAGCCTTAGGAAAACGTAAGGTTACCTTGAGGTTCCGAAACATCAAGGTATAGAAGGGAATGAATAGGCCCTCTCCCCATGGAACGGAATCACAACCAGATAGTATGCTAAAATTGGTAAGAGCTGGAAAAAATGGTTTAAATAAGTGGATGAAGGCACCAGTATTCATAGATTCATAAATATCTCAAAAGAGGAAGGCGGAGAAACTCCGAAACTAGTAAAAGTGCCGACTCTATGTCAAGAGAAACACTGTGGCTGTACACAGTAAGGCCTTTGACCAAGAGAAGCTCACGAAAACACCAAAGAAAGTACTTAATTTACAAAAAAACGTACACTTTCCATGGTATAGTTTTAATCAAAGGGGTTCCACATTAGTCTTACATTAGTTTTGCCCATATGAGATAAATGTTGTAATAAATTAAAAAATTTATTTCTTGCCATAATTCTAAACATTAACAGTAGATACAATTAAAATATTCTTTAGATAGTTCATCTGAAATGTACTGAATCATTTTATTCTGCTTACCAAGACCTACTGGGATTTGTCAGAACCAATTCTTGTTGTTTAATTATTTACTTTATTTATTTGAAAGTAACACTTTTTTCTTCAAAGTAACCTTATTTATTTCCTATTAACCCATTTTAACCTCAAATTAACCCTTTTTAACGTCAGATTAACGTAGTTTATTTTTTAACCTTGTTCTTTTTAAAATATACCATTTTAACATCAGATTAACCTTATTTATTTCTCTCTTTTTAACGTCAAATTAACCTTTTTTTAACTTT